AATTACTAGCAAAATTAGTTTATTTATAATCAAAAATCAATCATGACTAGACCTCGGATTTTTGCATATTTTTTATGCTTTATCCGATTGGGCTCAAATTTTGTATTTAGGCGTTTCATGCTCCAATTGATCGATATTTGGAGTCATGTTAAAAATATGCAAAAAATATGCACGGTATTCTAGGCCGATATTCGATAAATATGCACGGTATGCTAGGTCGATATGCAATAAATATGCAAAAAAAAAAATTCAAAAAATATGCACTGTATGCTAGCTCGATATGCAATAAATATGCAAAAAATATGCACTGTATGCTAGGTCGATATGCGATAAATATGCAAAATATGCAAAACATGCAAAAATATGCAGAACATGCAAAATATAGGCAAAAATATACAAAATATGCAGAATATGCAAAATATAGGCAAAAATTGCAAAAATATACAAAATATGCAAAAAATATGCAAAATATAGGCAAAAATATGCAAAATATGCAAAAAATATGCAAAATATGCAATATATAGGCAAAAATATACAAAATATGCAAAAATATGCAGAATATGCAAAAAATATGCAGAATATGCAAAAAAATATGCATATCGACCTAGCATACCATATCGACCAAGCATACAGTGCATATTTATTTCATATCGACCTAGCATACCGTGCATATTTTTTGCATATCTCGTGCATATGCATTATATGCAAATATGCAAAAAATTAGAAAATATGAACCCTTCAAGTAATTCTAAATCCTTTGAAACTAATTTGTGTCCAATCAGAATTTCGATATTTTCATTATTAAGTCATGATTAGACCTCGGATTTTGCATATTTGCATAATCCGAGGTCTAATCATGACTCTATGCAAATGTTAAGGGCCATTATATTAGTTAGGTTTGTCTCAAGCCACAATTTTCCATATAATTGGAAGTAGTGCAACTAAGATTTTTGTATTGAAAACTAGTCATCGGTGTGCGCACTTTTCCAAAAAAATTTTTGTCATGCCACGTGTCATGTCATTAAATACATTTTTTGGTCGACTAGAAGTAACTATTTCCACCACAACTTTTTTACAGAATGGATTTAAATATTTGTCAATTTAACACTTAACGAACTCGCTAACTGATGATCACAAAATGTGCGTCCGAAAGCAGCCAAAGACATCCTCCAATTAGTTTGTCGCCATGAGTAGATACTACTATGTAGATACATACAAATTTAAAAATAAAAGAATGATTTTCACAGAACTTATCTCTTGACAAAACAGTTATGCATTATTTTTCCCATTTGGTTTGTGTAATTGAAATTATTTTAAGACATACCATTATCAGGGCTTTAATCACAAATTCTATTCTTATTCAAATGACACAATTTAGGTATGTCGTCAACTTTTTGGTTACTAGTTGTTTATCAGTGTTTTGTGAAGTATTTATTAGCAACAACAAGAGTTTCACAGTGGTAAATTCTAGATATATTTTTTGTTCGACATTTTTTTAGTTTTAGAAAGAAACATTTAAACAAAGGGAAAATATTCAGAAAAAATACTAGGTTGATTTTCTCTACGCTAATATTTATCATTTGTGCTGAGAATATCGAAAAACTTGAATTTTTTAGTTTATTTAATAAACGAGTACTTTCTCACTTTAATACTCCAATTAAATTGTAATAGGAAATCCGTCGGCTTATTGTCATAAATATTGAGATACAAGAGATAATCCTAGTAATATAAACTAAGAAAAGATCTAAATACTACTACAACAATGTTCTCTGATCACATAAATATTTGACTGTATTTGTAAATACGAATTCCTATATTTCCCCTCATTTGTCATATTCCAAATGATTTTGCTACAGTTCGTCCAATGAAACATATAATAGCGTTGTATTCAGGAAAAGTTTTAAAAGAAAAAACCAAGATCAATTCCAAAATTTAACTAACACCTATTTCATATTGGACGATTTAGTTGAAAAATGTTCATATATATTATATACGCATGTATGTAAAAATGTTTATTCAATATAAATGATGTTCATATTAATACTTATATATGTGATATATATGATTGCTTGCAATGGCAATTCCAAACTATAAACAAAATTTGCATTTTTTAAGTACCAAGAAAACTGATAACAATGAATCATCCAGTAGATTGCAGTAAGGGTTAATTGATCGTATTTTGTTAATTATTTAATTGGATATAGAATGATGATAACTGAACCCTTTTACATGGGACTAAGACTAATGCATTTGAATCAAATAAGAGATAGAATATTAAATAAAACGGCACACAAATAAAGAATTTTATGATAATGGAGATTTTTCTGTAATGTCATTCGCATGACTTTGGATTGTAAAATACATGTTAGGAATAATAACAATACGGAGGGGAATGTGTTTTATTGTGTGAGGCTGTTCTTATTGTTCATCCTTGTCTTTAGCGCCATGTTTCAGAATTCTGGTAAATTCGATATAATCAAACAGACCACCCTTGATGGGAGCTTCGCGATACATTTCGTCAACCTGAAAATGTTAATGTTGATAATATTGTAATTATCCAATATTCCAAAGTGAAGAATAACTTACATCCTCGTCTGTAAAACGATCGCCCATGGTTGTGAGAAGCTCACGCAAACGATCCTCGGGAATCACACCAGTATTTTCTTCATCGAAACAACCAAATGCATTTTTGATGACATCTTCGGGATCTGTGCCTTGCAACCGTTCTCCAAACAGGGTTAAGAACATAGTGAAATTAATTGGGCCAGGAGCTTCGTTCATCATTGCTTCCAGATATTCATCTGTGGGATTTTTGCCCAAAGACGCGAGCATATCGTGTAAATCCTCCTTCTCAACGAAACCATCGCGGTTTTGATCGATCATATTAAAGGCCTCCTTAAATTCGGCAATTTGTGCCTGATCGAACATAGCAAATACATTAGAGGTGGCACGTTGGGCACGCTTCTTGGTTGTGGCACGGCGACCGGCTGTTTTGCGAGAAGACATGTTTGATCTAAGAAAAAAAAACAACAACAAAAATGTTAAAATTATTAGAAGATAAAAGTAAGCAAAAACTAAAAAAAAGAAGATTGAAATCGTATAAAATTAACAATAATTTAAACATATGATTAAAATGTTGTTAATACGCTGACATCGATATTTATTATATATTTATTATACGATGTGATATACTCATCATATTTAATATTTTTCGCAAAGTATTCTTTAATTGTTTAATAAAAATTTAAAACAAAAAATGCAATATACGGTCACATAAAATAAATTGGAATTGATTAATTCGACAGACATCTCTTTATTTTACAGACATATTTGAAGAATATAATTTTCCCAGAAATTCGTGATATTGAATTGAATAGTAAATAAGTATAGAGCCATGAACCCAGTCCCAAATATCCCATCGAGGATGAAGTCCACGACACAAAGGCCAACGTACAGATAACTTGTTTATGCATATGGCCAAAAACAATCATTTATAAGATGTTTCCAACTAGCAAAAGTCCTTCAAAAACCAATAGCTTTCAGAAGTATGCGTAAATGCCATCTATAGGACCTGATTACTAGAAACTTTGCCGGTTTTTAGCCATTTCTTGACGAATGTTTCTTTATTTGTGCTCAAGAGTGGAAGGTTTATCTGCATAAACACGGTTCCATAAAAAAATGTCTAATGCTTTCAAATCGAATAATCTTGGTGGCCAGTTAATAACGGCACGACGGGTACTTGCATTGAAACATTGATACAAGCAAATGTGGAAGGTCTTGGAGTGTTTTAGAGAAAAATTCTCCGAAAATTCTATGCGTCGCGGGGGATATTGCCGTCGAATGAACCATGAGCCGTACCATCTATTCTCGGACATCAACAGAGGTATTGAGCTGCAGCGACTACGTTGGCTAGTTCATGTTGTGAGAATGGATGAGGATGACCCTGCTCAAAAGCCAATGGTTCACGCAGAATGGGAATGCCACGAATTCTATGGAAAGATCAAGTGGAAGGCAACATTTCGGAACATGGTCTTTCAAATTGGAAGAGCTGCGTACAAGACTGATATTTTTAAACTCGGCTTATGTAACAAATCTTCTGTCACTGAACAGTTAAGATTTACAGTAAATGGACTATAAAAAATAAAAATATATATAAGCTACTATTCTCTGGTAGGTTAGGGATGTGCGGTTGTTAATAACAACCGTCCACTCGGAGACTATGTCCATTGTGATCATCCTTATAAATTACCTGTAAAGAAAAGAAAAATGGAGAGTGGAGGAGCAAGGAGAAAAGATAGCGAGAGAAGAAGAGCGGAAAAAAGGTTCTTTTAGCCATGTCAAATTTTTGACAAAGCCTAGGGTTTGGTTTTATTTTGGAGAAGAAGACTAGATTATCGATTTCATATCTTCCAAACTGTTTATGTCTTCTGCTAATCAGCGATGGACATTTACAGAGGATGTGTTCAATTGTTTCCAGTTCTTCTTCGTCCTCACATAGACGACAGTAATCCTCTCCACTGGAGTCCCACTCCGAAGTGAGAGATCTAATCTTGCAGTGACCTGTTATGATCCCCACAACGATTTTGATCTCCCTCTTATTGTGTGTCAGCAGCGAAGTTGTTCTTTTAGATTTTGAGATTCTGCAAGCAGGTTCTCTTAGCCATCTGTTGAAATTGCCGATGGGAGGTTTCACAGATCTCTCAATCGGAAGATTGGACGACTGCGAGCCCCTTCGAGCAAGCTCGACGGCTATCTCATTCCCTTCAATGTCTCATTCCCTATCTGTCGTATATCCTTCAAAGCGGACTTGCAATTATGAACAACTTTTGAGTTTATAGTACGCGATTTCACCGCTTTAAGGGCCGCCTGACTATCGACATATATAGTCACCGGTCCCGTAATGTCTGCATTAAGTGATTTTACTATCTCGGCCGCTTTTTTTTATTTATTTATATATGTATTTCATATTGTCTTTCAACCTTAAGGCTGTAAGCTACATTTCACAATTAAATATAAATTTTATAGTATTAAGCGGCTTAAATGTAAAAGGGAGGGATATTGAACTACTAAAGAATATTATACCGATTAAATTACAAAAAAAGTTTTTGATTATTATAGGTTATGATTAAAAAAATTTGATTAATTGGATTATGACTACTCCAGTAGGAATGGAAAATTATTATATATAAAAATGAGTTGTGTTTTTATCTAAATAATTTGTATCACAAATATCACGGTACAATTATAAAAGGTAACAGCAAATCCCAGCTGATTTGATTTCAACGTAATACTGGTATCAATATGAATTTGACAAATTACGTTTTTAAAAATCACCCAACAGGAAAATTGGGAACGCATACAATTTGAAATTGTTCTTTATTAAATGTGCTCCCGTATTCAATTTACTCAATCTGCCTGCTGGGAAAGTTTCAGGAAGCAAATCTTACTTCAAGGAATAACTCGCTATTCCCAGCATTTTCATACGTGTTACACATATATATGGCAATGGCTCAATTAAAGGAAAGATGTGGAAGCGATAGAAATATAAATTTTAAAGATTTTCATTCATGTTTTCCAATTTTTATTTTGAGGATTCGAAAATATTTCATTTTCAAAATAAAAATAATTTGATGATAATTTGTTTGTTTGTTTACATTTTTCTGTCAAATGAGTTGACACTAGTAGAACTTACAACAACAAATTTCCATGTTGTTGTTGTATCGTTTTTTGTACAACAACACTTGCTGTTACCTTCTATTATTATACCATGCACAAATATAAAAAAAAAATTAAACATACATACGTACATTAAAAAATTTAATTGAATTTGAACTACTCCAATATGAGTTATATCTTCCTAATTCCCTACAGTAAACGCCTACGCCAGGGCCTTCCTCCATCTTTGACCCGTCTGTAAAGTATGACAGACCTGGGGGGTTACTCTGTATTGCGTTGCGAAAGCAAGTGCGATGCGAAAGCTAAATGCGTTAAGAGTACAATTTGGTACTCTGTAACGCTCACGCAAACGCATTCGCAAACTAAATAGAAAATAGGGCAACACTGTCGCCACAAAGTAAACAATAACGAAGAATGACAAAAGGAAACGTAAAAAAATTGTAAATGAAAACATATTTTTGTGTGGTACGAGTGTTTTGTTTTTAAACAAAAATGAACGAATTAAAAAAAAAGAATTTTATCAGATCGATCAAATATACTCTCCGTATGTGACCACGGGTATGAAAATAGAAGTACGAATTATGTGACAAATGTTTTCAAATATTTAATTTTTATAGATTTATATAAAATGTCTCAATAAAGATTCGTTTATGTATTTATTAAACGCTCGTCGTTCCAAATAGATCCACAACAATTCCAACTACAATAAAAGAGGCCGCTGCTTTGAATTTGCTTGGACAAGGTGATTATCAACACCAACCTGCACACATAGTTTCACATTTTATATAAAAAAATAATATATTACTTTTTCCAACCACCGACATCTTTTACAGGAAGTCAATTTGAATTGAGGTCATCAGACGGTTTTGTCCACAAATTGTTGGCGCGTAGTTTCGCATTTGAACTCTGCAACTGTCCCTTTGCCAAATCACTATGTTGCCCCATAAAATCTACTGAAGTTAGGAACTGACGTTGCTGAGTCTGTAACTGTGACTTTTTTGCCTTTTACTTAAAATAATTTACAATTTATATATAAATAAAACCTTTAATTGAGCTTACTTATATGTTTCGCTTCCTTTGCGTTTGCTATTTTGTTAACGCAAGATATTTGCGCTTAACGAACGAGTTTGACATGCGTTTTCGTATTACAGAGTGCGGTGATGCCACATTTGCGTAAAGTAGATGCGAAAACGAATTAGAGAGTACCAATTACGCGATGCGTTACAATTTTTCTCACGCATCGCGATACAGAGTAACCCCCCTGGCAGAGGTAAAAAGCCACTAGTCCAGGATTCCCTACTAGGAAACTCAACTTTGATGTCATTAAAGCCTCTATGTAAGGGAACAACTCAACTTTAATGTCATTAAAGTCTCTATTTAAGCCTTAATCCTGTTTAATTTTTAGGAATATAAAATATTCACCCACAATGTTTCTTATACATTATTAAAATATTGATTTTAAAAAATGGTTATAAACACATCTGTTGTTGATACCCCCACTGTAACAAACTATGACTGGCATTGGGGGCATACATATAGAATATTAAAAAAAATCCATTCAAATCGTTGCTATACACGGATCAGATTAATGGATTTTTCTTTTCACTTATAAGTGCAGCTGTGGCAGTATGTGTTGGCTTGTATATGATGTATATGAGAGCATAGATATGTACACCGAATGCTATTGCACTTAGTTTGTATCACCCAAAAGCCATTTAAAGTGAATTTACCAAAAATAGTAAACAATTTTCGAAAAGTAAAAAACTTATCAGCAATTTATGTCAACAAAACACGAACGCACACACACACACACGCAAATATATATTCGCCGAAATGATCGACCATGTTACAGATACATTCAGTTTTTTTAGCCCAGTGAGTCATAACTTCAATTCACCAGTATTTTTTTGTCATTGTCTCCGGCAATGAGCGTTTTTTTTTTTCTTCGCCTCAGTTGTGTTGTCTTTTTATTTTGTGCAAAAGACGATCAACATTACATACATGTCGTCGTTTTTTTTTTGCAATTTATTGATGAGTTAACCATATATGGCGAAAGCTTTCAGGCCTGAGAAATATGATATGGAACTGGATATCCAACGGAGACCGGGGGTAATTTACATATTACCAATTAAACATAATCCAATTACATACTGACAACCATTTATCTTATATTTTACCGTTCCACCGAGAAGACTTCTTTGTTTAAAATTATACACAATTGGTTTATTGAAATGAATCATTTTCCAATTATTTGGGGAAACAAAAACAGCAAACCCCTTTTATTTATTTACGTATCATTACACATCACCAAAAAAAAACAAAACTTATCCATAGTTCAAAAACAAAGAAAG